TAGGTGTGGATGAAAAAGTATGTGATTGTCAATCCGTTTGGACACCCTGTTCTATATACATATTCTTTATTTATCAAGTGAAAAAGTCTCATTGAGATTAAAAATATCTTTTGTACAGAGTGTACCTTGCCTTTCACCTTTGACAGCTGGGATAAATTCCAGCACCCTGTTAACTCTTAAGCTGGATAAGTGATTAAGAAAATGACTGGATGGAATAAATGTAATTTCCTCGACATGCACTTTTTTTCACGACTGAATGCCTTTCACAGTTTTATCATAGATGTCTACATTGAGTTTCTTGGACTTTGTGACCTAGTTTTTACCTTGTCATGTAAATTGTGGGACCTTATACATACACAGGTGTGAGTCTTTGTTACCTATAAAGTTTTAGATGCCTAGGATACAACTAGATAACTAGATACGACTAGACATAATCTGGCACACCACAACTATGGTCTGGAATAGTTTTGTCAATGAGAGATTTCAGATTTTGAGTTTTGCGGTCACTTGGATCTGCACAAAGACATCTGCCAAGTACAACTTTTGAATTACATTAATGTTAGTAGACTGACAAAGAACAGAAGGAGATACCTTGACTAATTTGTGATTAATTTATGAGAAAAACTGACTTGGTCACAGCAAAAACAACAGTAATTGTAACTGACATATGTTAACATACTCTACATATGGGATGACTCAAAATAGACTTATCAGGGCAGAAACACAAGAGTTCTTAGGGTGTCCTGTGGTCATTTTGGGTCGATCATTTGTTCAACTGGACTGTGACTAGGGAGTTTGAAGGTCAAGTAATCCCCTGAGCTTTTCTCAGCCATTCCTGAGTTGTGTGGCTGGTAGAACAGCCCTGCTGGGGGAGGACGCTCTCCCGTGTGGTGTGTGCTTGGTCACTGTTTATGAATATGGCACTTAATGCATGTCAAAGTAATATGCACATATATGCCAAGGCCCCAGCTGCACACTGTATTTTAAAGACATGATCAGTGTTCATCACGTCAGCTCTCAGTGTTTTAAAGCTGTGGAAGACTTGCGTCTAATACCACTACAACACAACACAATCATACGTGTGACACACACACAAAAAAGACTCCATATGCCTCGCACAAAAATATATGAATAAGCATTAGAATGAATGAAGTTTAATTTGATTTTGAAGGTATTAACTAAGGAGCTCTGTTTTTAATTCAAATTCCAAATTCCATTAGAATAGTATCTAAAGGAGGATCTGGGGTTTTTCCACTAATGTAGCATAATGGTGATAGTTCAGTGATGTCCGTGGCAGTCTCTTGCACTATTATACCTCCTGAGTGGGGAACGTAACTGTAGGATGTTACATGGTAAAAACATATGCGCATGTTTTAAGACTACATACACCTGTCATTTTTAAGAAAGCATAAAAAATTCCTATGAAACCTTTTTTCTCTCTAATGGATGCAAATTTAACCATTAGCTGGGGATAGTAGGTTAGGTTAGTGACTTATATCAGTGCTACATTTGACTGAGTTCTAAAATAAAGCGTTATAAACTATGCACTGAAGTTGTCACTGCTCACATAGTGATCTTAAAAAACTTAGCAGCCCAACAGATGGATGGACAGGTCAATAAATCGCACAGCTTGCGCAGACTGAGAATCATTTTCTGTTTCATATTAAAAGTTCCTTTTTGTGTTGCCGCAATTGCCCTCGAACTTTATCCATGCTTATTATTATAACCATAATAAACATCAACAATAGCATCAACAAAATCAAAGGTATCAGAAGCACTAAGCTTCTGTAGCCTAGACAAAAGCACTCAATGTAAACCATCTATTCTCATTCTCCAAAACAAATATTAATTGGCATAGAATAGCAAAAAAATTTATTTGGTGACTATTTCCATTTCAAGACTGAAACACAAACCATTTTGCTAAATGCAATATTCCTCGCATAGGGGATGCCTTTGCAGGACTGACTCAAACTTTACTACAGTGGCCACTTTCCTCATCCTGAAGGAGTGTGTCGCTTAGTGCAAACATGTCACTCATTGGGTTTTTACCATTTTCTAAGAAACTATGAGACAGTGATAGAAAATATACAGTGGAAGGCTTTTATTAGCATCAATTAATGTCATTCGGGGATTTTGGTCTTTCCACTATGAACATTCCCATCAAGGAAAATGTGGAGCTGCACAAGCCTTGTTCAGAGAAGCTACAATCTTTAACCACAGAAACACAAATAAACAGAGACAACTCATCCATGTTCAAAGGTGAGATTGATATGGCTTCAGTCCAGCATAAGGTAGACAGAACAAACGTGCTGCCATTTACAGCGCTTGTGAATAAAACAGATTTGATAGATATATGAAACGGACGTGGTTATTTTTCCTGCTTGCGAAACGAATGATGAAAATTATGAATGAATCCCCTTGCAAAAAAAGATAGAAGGATAAAAACAAAAGCCAAGAAAAAAAAAAACCATTTGTTGTTGTTTAGTTCTGTTACATGACTACCTTTAGTGTTTGTATTTCAAATAGTTGATTGACGGCAAATATTGAGGTTACACTAAAAATAAAATGCAGTCTGTGATAAAGCCCTGAACGATAGCTTAGCCTATTGAGTCAATCCACATAAATTTTGAGTGCATCCACATGTGGTTTTCAAGACTGCTGAAACCAAATGGATGCTGCTGTCCATGGGATAATCCTCAAGGATAAATGCTTATTATCTGTTTTTGATGAGAAGCTATAATGAAGCACACACCCGATGTGTTATTAGCATCCGGAGTTTAACATAACTCCCTCTTTTTTGTAGCACATGTCTTCAAAGCCCTTTGGTCTCACTTTTAACCATGACGTCATCCCCCTAAATATAGCTTCGCACTGGTAGCTAACAACAGAAAAGATTACAAGAGGAAATTTAGGAACATGCTGTGATTTGTCATACACAGGTGGGATGATGTCAGGAAAAAATGCTCACCACTCATTTCAGGTAAAATATATCACGTGACTCTTATGAAGGTGAGTAGACTATTAAATTATGAGTTTGTGATCACAGCAGAGTGTGTATTTTGACCTGTAGTTGATATGTATACAGTTTTTAAAATGCGATGAGATTTTTGGCTTGTGTTTTTTAAAACAATGGACACATTCAGTGACAATCACATGACAAATTATGTTACACTCCACAGCATGAACACAATCACATTTTTTCATTGCCAGTTGTTACCCAACAATTTACTTTTCCATCGTGGTGATTTACTGTTTGAAACATTATTCTGATTCTCTGTGCACAAGAGGGGGGAAGCAATGTCAGCATACAGTTTGATACGGCTACAGTCCCAACAGCATCATACGACACTGAGCTAAGACATCAAATGGTTTTGTGGTGTGATTAAAAATAAGAAAAAAGAACATGCCAATTTTCAGAGAAAATGATGCTTATATTTTTCAGACGTTCCCTTATTCTAATTTGGTGTGACGAGAACTCTGAGGCCATAAGTTATCAGTTAACTGGTTTGTTTGCCTAGATTTCAAATAGAGATATTTTCCCACAAATCTGTCTGATCATCACCACAGGTGTATTTCCTTTTGAGATTTTTCTGTGAGATTTCTGACACCGCCCAAATGGAAACGACTGGTAAGTGGAGTTCTGCTGTGGTCACAGCATTAGAAAATTGCAACAGCAACTTACTAGACTTGGTGTTATGCGTCAACATTTTTCCACCAAAGAAATAGTGTATTTTGCAGATTATTATGATAAATTATTTCATACAGGTTTGCTGTATGGAGGCAAAAGTACTGGAGATGGAAATTTCAAAATATGTTCAAATAAAAACCAAGATGTCTTTCTGACTAAACACACACACACACACACACACACGTATCCCACATGAAATTCCCTAACTTTCAGAGCCATGATCATTTACTGAACACGAAGAAATTATGACAATTCTGTACTAATATCAGGCTAAAGAAACAGCTGTAAGAAATTCAAATTTGCAATGCGCTGTGAAACTAATTGTTGTGCTACTTTAAGCTGTGTGAAAATCATATTTTCAGGTTTTTATCCTCACACACACACACTTACACCTGCTAAACAGCCATATTATTATTTTGACAGTTACAGCATATTTCTCAATCTTGAACTACCACTTCCTGTCTAAAAAGTTATGGAACACCTGAATACACCATCTGTTATATAACAGAGATGAAAAAATAAAGCTTTCCATAGGTTCCCCATGGGGAAGAACTAATTTACCCAGAGGGCAAACACCAGTCATTACACATGATCAGACATGATTGTATTCTCCATAACATTTAACTTGATCTCATTTTTCAGTTTACAGTGGGAACATATAATAACTTATAATAACTTCAACAATAACAATGGATTTTCAGAAGCTGGATGACACTTTTTTGCGCCCCTCTTTACAGAGTTATCACAAAGGCAAGTAAATCTAACATGACGCCAAGGTGTTGCCTGAACTGTGTACGATATGATGACTCACAATGAGAGGTGACATAGCAGGTAAGAATTTACATCTTCTGGTGCCAAAAACATACAGTATGAGCCAGATACAGTGCAAGTTATAGACAGGATTAAAGCACACCCACGCTCACACCAACTCCAATATAGATTATGATAGAAAAAAAAAAGAAATTACAAACAAGCAAATGCTCATCATATACTTTGACATCCAACTGTGAAACCCATACCACAAATACCACTGAGTATCTAATCAGTTCTCTTGAAACCACGTGAACTCGACAATTACAACATCAGACTGACAGCTAAAACTTGCGCATGGGCTTCTTTCATACTATTGCACATATAGAGGTGATATAGCTAAAAATCACGACGGACCCGTGTGACAGATTAAACAGAAAAAAAGCAAAAACTACAACACGAAAAACCACTAACTCACTAATACACAAAGTACAATGCAGATGTATAGTGCAAATTTACATTGTGCTACTTCCAGCTTCTCAATAAATTACAAGATCACGGCAATTATTTTCCATTTGACTTAAAGCTCCATGATAACTTTAACATATAAATGATAGAAATCTAGAAGCACGAGACCCTACACAAACACAACTCTTGCTCACATGCACCGAGCTGTCATTACGAGCCTTACGCAAAACACAATTTGAAGGGTGATTTGTGTTTGACGTCATCCTCAAACACATTTCAGCCCGTGCAATTACCTGTCTCAAGATGGAGAAGAGAGAGAGAGAAGGTGAGGGAGGACAGAGGAAAGGGGGAGGAAGGAAGGTCGATCGGTCGGTCCCTCTTTCAGTCGATCCTCGGTGCATACATCCAAATCGTAGGTCACCTTTTCTCACCGGCGCCCAGCTGAAGGCTCCAGCAGCAGCAGTCAAGTCCACCTGAGCTCCTAAGTCACCCCGTTTCCATCTTCACTCGTGTTGTCATTGTTCTCTCCTGCAAGACAAATGGACAAAGCGCACATGGTGAGACTTAATCGTCTAAAAGTTCGCAGGCCTAAAGGGACAGACGGAAGACATAATGTGAACGGGGGATTTGGGGACGGGGGAAGGGGGGGGGGGGGCAACTTATCATCAGACGCACCACCACAAACCATTGAGAAAACCGCTTTTACGCGCTGAAATGACGCGAATCCTCGCAGTAAATATTCAGTAATTAAGCCACCTTTGAAAGGTGCCAAGATAAGTTTTCATTCACATCCCCACCCAGAAAGCAGGAGACAAGCCAGTGCCCTGTATTCTTGTAGACAGGTGTGGCTTTTTATCATTATGGCTATTAAGGCAGAAAAACGGAAGGCGAGTCCGAGGGTCAGAGGTCACGCTTTTTTGTTTTACGTAATCTCTGTGGTCGTTTCAATACGTGTTTATGCTTTCTTACACTTTATTGCCAGTTCATTAATCCCTGCTCTATGTTTTACACTCTTTAGATAATTTGGATTATCTAAAGAGTGCCTCGTTGAGATCTATGCGTTGCTCAAGAGTTGGGTCAAACGTCACTCTCGAAATTAGAAACATGTTCTGGGAAATGTATTTCTACACGGTGGGTTATGTAGTACGTCACGAACTTTTTTCCCCCCCCCCCCCACCCCCATCTCAGTTCATTTTTCTGGGAACTCTGCGTTTTTAGCCAAAAGACACGGGGCCGCAACTGAGCGCTTTGTGATTAAGTCGTTTTTGTTCCCTGAACTACACTTTTTTCCTCGTTTTTTGAAACTATATTTTCCTGTCAGCGTGAGTGGGACTCAGCACATTTAGCCAACCGTTTTTTCCATCCTAGGGTTACACTTGCTGCTCTGTGGATCTGTACTGCAAATACGCGGAAATGTTTATTTATTAGGATCATTAGTACACTTGATTTTGATCATTCACACTTTTCATTCCCTTTACCTGTGATGGGACAGCAGAGAGGAAACAGGGCACAAAGTCGCGTGTTTTTTCTTCTCCGCCCTAAAATGAATTGAATCTCCTTTCGTTCTTTTTACTGTGTCTTCTGAAAGAGCTGGTGCTCATGTCTTGCTTTTATTTTCATCGGCATGACTACTTTTGCTGCAGAAACCACTTACTGCATTCACACGAAGCTTCATGAGCCATAGTTTCGTGCTACTGAAGTTGGTAGTATAATGACCCAATCGCTAAGTTGACGAGACTAAAGTTGATCTTTTTCATCTTTTTTATTTTTTATTTTGTAATCTGTTGGTTCGTACTGGAAGGACGTGTTCGTGGCCGGCTCTCTGTGTGCTCTTTGTGGGGAACGTTGACAGGGGAACAGTGGTGGGCGATGCTTGAGGTGGATTAACTACTATTCACAAAACTGTGAGGGAGACACGTGCATTTTCAGTGTGTGTGTGTGTGTGTGTGTGTGTGTGTGTGTGTGTGTGTGT